GGGAAGAGGAAGCCAAGAGCTGGCTAGTTTCCATGGAAACACTAGCAGCATCAGGCAGAACAGCTGTAGAGGAAAAGGCAGAAGTTCGGGAGGCAGAAATCTTGCTGATTTTACCTTACCCATAATGTCAGTACCATCCGAGAGCATCTACATTTAAGGTAGATCAAGCTAGTTTATGCTCAGTATGTCATGTCAAGATACAATTTCCAATTAAGACTCCTAAAAGCCAGCAAGCCGAAGTACATTAATAAAAATTACAGTGCAAATTAGTCAGCCCATGTACACATGAAGCTACAGATTTTATGAATATCTGTAATAGTGATGCATTACAATATTTGTCATTAGGAATAAATCTTGCTATTTAGTCAAAAATGACAGCTCCCGTAAGCTAAATGTTCAAAGCAAAATGACTGGTTTTCACCAGTTAAATCTAATGGACTCTTTTCCCTCTTAAACATAAAGTCAGCATTTTGATTCCCAACATGGCAAACAGAATATCCTTTTGGCAGCTTATCAACCTTTACTATTTTCTTCATATGATTTTCAGACAGAAGATGTCTGCATAACTCAATTATTACACGGTAAAATCTGAAGTATACTTCCTTTCCTTGTTGAATAAAAGACAAAGTAAAGATTTCCACTTTAGGGCCTTTCTATTGCTAATAGCAAACAAACTCTGCTATTCACTACTAATCTACAAACATGTATTCTGAGATGAACATATCCTCACCACTCCATCCACATTATTTCAGACCATCCCAGCAGCACTGCTTCCACCAAAAATAAAAACTGTTGCACCACAAAAAGCCAAAGCCCTAAAAATACAACCCACTGTGGTCGCTCACCATTGTATGTGACAGGTAACTAGGTACCTAGAGAGAACATAAGCTAACCATGAAATAAAGGCGTATCTTTGGTAAAAATGCTCCCCAATATAATTTCTGTAACTTTAGCCTTCCAAGGGGATCTATAAAATCATTATTTTCTCCCTCTCTCTCACTACACCTGTTTCAGGTGATTCTTCTTACAACCAACCCCACCAAATGTTCAAAGCTGATGCAGATGTTACAGGAAACTGGAAGGAGTCTCTGACAATATAACTTCACATAAAACAGTGGATGGGAACTTCGTATCTCCATCCAGCTAAATACAACACACCGCTCAGGTCCAGCTCCTCATGAAGTAGCGTAAGATCAGAGTTTTAATGAACACTTGCAAGGTGTATCTTGATGCCTGGACTGCAAGACTTTTGTGGGTTTATTTGCATTTCAGCGGATATATTCTTACAGCAAACTTTACAAATAGTTGCCTAATAGTTTTTATCCTTCCCTTATAATCCAAGTAATTAGATCTTCCCTATAGAAAAAGACTGTGCTGCAGAAGGGTTGTGTAACTTGGCCTCTAGCTGCTGAAAGCAGCAAGGGTGTCGCAGGCAGCACCACTCCAGTGCCCTGGGCCACATTGACTCCTACGCTGCTGAGCTACCTGACCTCACAGGTGCTGTCCCCTTACCCATGAGCAGATTTCAAGCCTTCTCAGGAAGTGAAGGATATATAGCTACAAACTTTGTGAATCACAGTAAGTACATGAGTAATCCATAATCCTTAGGAGAAAATCAATGACAAATACTAATTACTTCTTTGAACAGCATCATGTTTCAACTATTATTCAAAACTAAAAGCCTTAAAAGCTGAATTAATTTGAGATACGATATCTGAGACTAGCACTGACATTCTAGGTCCTGCTGGGCATCTGCACACACTCTTTTAAACTCAGTGCTAAATTATGTCTCTGTACTTTCGTACAAACTATTTAGATATATTTTTGCAATTACTAAAGCATAAGTACTTTGCACTTAGGAGCCATCATGTATCATTTACAGGTATTAACTAGCAAAATTCACAACACCTGTTTGATTCCAATAAGAACCAGGTAAGTGTCTGTTTTGGAGATGTTTAAGCCAACACATAGAAAGATTTGTTTGCCCAGTGCTTCTCTGCCTATGACAGTATCTCATGCCAGTAGCTTTCCATAGCTACCTAATAGCATTCTGTCACATAGCAGTTTGTGAATGATTGCTCTATTAAGCCTGGAGTGAGAGGAGTACCGCTGTACTCCTTAATTTCATTTCACAGGCTATGAAATCCAAAAACGATAAAATGAAAACAGAAATAATATTTAGATAGAACTCCTGAACTTGAGGAACAAAGGAAAGTGTTGCAGGTTTCAAAGCAATTGTATGCATGTGAATTACATTTTATATTTACAAACCCCATGTTTAGCAGATGTCACCATCTAAATATCAAACTGCATACACTTAAAACTGAATCGTTATTTTTCTTAGAATTTTAAATAAAGTAAACAAACTACTTCCACTATTTATATAACATCACTGGATGGTCTTGCTAGAATAATCTTGTGCATGCACTATCCCCGAATAGGTTACCATGGCAACTTATATTTGAATTTCTATAAATTTCTATTTTTAGAGATCACAGTTTAGGATAAAGAAAAATCACAAATATTAAGTACCATTTCATTAACAGGAAATATCCCAATTTTATCATCACCATACTTCCCAGAAAAGACATTGCTGAAGTTAAATCGGGCAGTAATGCTAAAAAAATTAATTACCACAGTTATTAAGAAAGTTTACCAATACGCAGCTTCACGGCAACCTAAGTGGTGTATGAGTCAGTAGCTAACATTACGAGGCAAAGACTGATGCTCACAGAGTTCTGTCTGGGTTTCAGTACAGCCAGGATTTCACTCAGATGTTTTTAGAGTTAGTCATCATTTCAGCTGACACAAAACAAAGGTGTATTTGCCAGAATACTCAGAAAATAACATCTCTGTTTCAGGTGTGGGAAACATTGAACTGGCAGTAATGTCTCAGTTCCAAGTAATGCTACTATCACCTTACAGTGTTCAAGAGTGCTTACTAAGTGCGTGCTAGTCCTTAAATACAAATTTACTTTAATGTTTTAAGACTTGCCAGCAATTCTCAAAGCTGTCTCCCTACCTGAAACATCAAGTACAAGGTAGCAGCCTAGAAGAAAATGAGAACACCGATTTAGGCACTGCTGTTACTGCTCTGACACTGCCTTACTCTGGCTCCCTGGGGTTGAAATCGGAATATAATGTTTAAAACCAGGTTTTAAGTTCTAAAAAGGTGAATACCTTATCTTCTAAGGGATGAATATTACTGTTGTGTTGCAATTTTCTATTATAGTGTTAATTATGGCATTCATTTTGCAAATTCAAACTAACTTTATCTGAGCCACTGACAGGCCAGGATGGTCTAACAGAAATGGAAAATTTGGAAAGCAAGCACCTACAGGTTCTGTCAAAGAGTGGACTGAAGTGGACTGAAAACCCAAGTGACAGCTACAACTCCAGGGTGCAACTGCAGTCAGCATGCCTGTCTTCCTTTTTCTCCTAGTAACTCCCTCTTAATGTTTACACCATAAGCCTGAGTTCTCCGTCAAAGTTAAGTGGAAAGAGTTCCCATTATAAAAGCTGCGGATCTGACACTGTCACAAAACAGGAGGTTAAAGACAACCTGCAGGACAATCACCACACACAAGTACTGTTTTGTCAGGTAACTGACAGCCACACCTTCCTTAGGATTCAGGCAGTGAAGATGCAAGCAATGTGGGTATGTCATTGATGAGCAAAGCCAGAGACTCATGGTAGGTTTTTTCCTTTATCAAAAACGTATTTCAAGTCTCAGCTGGAGCCATCTGTCAAGGGAAAACACACTGGGGGCAACTTTCAAAAACATAACACTGGCATTCAGCAAGTGACAGCAGGAGCTACAAGGACTTTTACTTTCTCTTTAACCCCACTAAGCCCATAGGAGGTACTAACTTTCACATAAACTGCAGCAGGGTATATGGCGCAACTCAGGAAGTCACTTAAAACCACACGTGTATAGCTACATCTACGAGATTGCCAGTGAAATCAGCAACACTGACCAGGAGACAACACCCACCACAACTGCACTTTCACCTCTGAATGCTTCATGGGAATTCTGACAAACACGCTACAAAACACTTCTTACCACTTTAGAATCAACATTCCCAGTAACAAGCTCTTTTTCTTGTATTGCAGGGAGGACTTGCTGGTGATTGCTTTTCTAGTTGTTAAATCTGAGGCACCACTGTTTCTCTCAAAGGAATTACAACTGTTTGCTCCAAAGCCCTGGGTTAGAAAACAAACTCCCATCGCCACTGACAACAGCAACTAAGAAACAGAATTAAAATCCAAATCATCAAATAAGAAAGTAGTCACCACCAAGATCTAAAATCCCTATCTATATAATGGAAACTTAGTACACTCATTCGCCGCTGTGTACCCCTGCCCTCAGTCACAGAGCCAGGCAGGGTCACCCTGAGAAATCAATGGAGGAAGAGCCAGGGTGACCTCCTGTCACACTTACTTTGTTGAACTCCGATCACCTCCCAACGCAGACAGAGCGAAGCTGGGCAAGGGCTGAGGTTGCTCTCCCGCATCACTGTCACCACTTCACCCCAAACCCGAGACCTCTGACAGCTGGGAGAGGGATGACGGCCTCCCCTGTCCCCAGACGCGCCTCCATGCAGACGCTCAGCAAGGACAAGGGCACCTTGTGTGCTCATACCCACACACAAACAGGTCCCCCAGCGCACATACCTCCAGACCCCCACTCAAGCCAAGGGGGCAAGTGCAGCTCCACCACAAGCTCCTTGGGGCATAGCTCCCACCTCACTCCATAAGGGGACACTCACCCAGCAGGATCACCCTGTCTGACATTGCTTGCAGATGCAGAGGGGACAAGCACCACTCCCCCCTGGGGGCTGACACTATCCCCGCGTAGCAACCCACCAAAGCATCACCTCTGCCCCATGTGGGGCATTGCCTCCCCTTGACGCCCTACATGGCTGCCTCCTATATGGGGCCCCCGGCACCCCTCGGCCTCCCCAGCCATCCCGACAGGAGCGCCGTCCAGCAGCGCTTACCCTGGCAGCCCGCGAGGAGTAGGGGTCCTCGAAGAGTGCCCAGACGCGGGGCTGCAGCCGCCGCCAGCGCCCTCCCTTCCCCTCTCCGGCGGCCCCCACGTCCTCGATGCCCAGCCTCTTGGCGGCCAGGTCGTCGTCGTCACCGTCACCGGGCGGCTCTCCCGTTAGCAGGTCAGGCGCCTCGAAGATGTCAAGAGCCTCCTCGGCGTCTCGGTGCTGGCGGTAGGTCATCCAGCAGCAGGGCTCCACGTCGGTCTCGTCGATGCCCCAGAAGGCCAGCTCCTCCTCGAAAAGCGGCCCGCAGACGTCGGCGGGGCAGTGCAGCTTGCCGGTGCGGTAGTAGTTAAGCACATAGGCGAAGACCCCCGGGTGCCGGTCGAAGAAGAATTCGCTGGCGCCGCCGCTGCCCCGGGGGCTGCAGCCGGTGCCGGGCTCCGGGCAGCCGCCGGCCGGCGCCGGCGGGTTGGGGTTGGAGGGCGGCGGTGGCGGCGGGTCTTCGCCGCCCGGGGACTCGCTCTGGGACTCGCAGGCGAGCAGGGCCAGGCGGGTCCCCGGCAGGGTCTTCAGGGTGCTGCGGTAGGTCTCGTGCCGCGTGCCCCCCACGTTGAGGATCACCCTCTCGTTGTCCTCGAGCTTCCCCATCGCTCCGGGTCGGACATGACTGGGGAAGGCGCGGGAGGCGGCGGCGGGGATGGGGTCGCCGGCAGGTCCGCGGCGGACGAGTTGCTGCCTTAAATGCAAACAGAAGAAATCGAGGAGAACACCCCCCCCCCGCCCCCAAGCATCACCGGGAGGAAGGTGGGGGGGAGGTTGGGGAAAGCTATTCCCCGCCGTCACCGCCTACCCCAGCCCGCTCCATCCCCCCGATCCCCACCGGCTCCGCACCTCCGGGAGAGCCTGTCCCGCCGCCGGGCAGCTCCGCACGCTCCTCCCGCGGAGGGCTCTCTGCCGCCTGCCCGCCCGGAGCAAGGCTCCGGGGCTCTGCCCTCGCCTCCCCCGAAAGCGGCTGCCGGAATGGCAGCGCCGCTTCTCCCCACCCCCTCCTCCCTCGCGGGGCTGCGAGAACCGAGCTGATGGAACAGAAAGTGTGCGGTTAATTATTTAAGGGGCATCTATCTTTCATTATCCTAACAGCCTAACCAGGGAAAAAAAAAAAAAAAGATGGATTAGAGGTTCGCCTTCCCTCCCACCCCCCATTTCTGAAGAGAGGGATTGCTTTTCGGGAGGTAAAATACCGAAACACACACCTCCCTCCCCAGTGAGCCTGGCACCCGGCACACCCTTGGAAAAGCTTCCTGCACGGAGCTCGGCTCCCACTTTCTCAGACAAATCACGAAGACGAGAATAGCCGTCGGAGCAAGCGCCGCGCCGCCAGGGGCTTCTCCAAGCTTCCCCACTTCCCCCCGCCAGCCCCGCAGTTACCTTGGCCGGAGGAGAAAACGCGGATCCCCTCCTCGGTCGGGCTCCGGTGATGGCTGGCTGTGGACGGCGCTTCCCGGCCGCTCTCCCTGCCTCCCCGCCAGGCGAGAACTACTTGTTGTTGGGCTTTGTTCGGTTTGTTTGGGTTTTTTCCGCGTTCAGGTGGCTGCTTCACCTCCCTCCATGCTCAACTCCAGAAGGCGTAACAGCGGCTCCCGCCGCCCGCTCGGAGATGCCGCTCGTTTCATTTTAGGAGAGGGACGCAGCCTTTCCCCATCGGGGCTAAGAGCGAGCATCGCCGGCCGAAAGAACAGCCATGGGCGGCTGGCAGCGGTACCTCGGGGAGCGGGGCTCTCCTAACCCCAGTGCCCCTTTGAGAAGGGAAGGCGGGATCTGCAAAGGCACCTTATTTGGGGCTGAAGCTCCTCCCCGGGGCGGGGGCAGGGGAGCCCTCCCTCCCTACCCCTCCAGCCCCCTGCTTCCAGCCCCGAGGGGGAGAGGAAGGCGACAGCAAAAACAAATACCACATCTCTCTGACGAGGGCAGCGCTACCTCCGCTCTGGTAGGTGGAGGTTCGGTTCACTTCAGGAAAAGCCTCGCGAAGGGTTCGGGGCTTAGAGTATCAGGTAAAAAAGCAGCGCCCAGCTACAGGTGACTGCGGAGAGGAGCTGCTCAGCCCCTCGGAGAGGGTTCGGTGCGTGCAGTAGCTGCGGCGGCCAGGAGCATCCCGGCTTCCAGGGGAACCCCCGGAGCAAACCGGGGATCGGGAGAGCTCAAGGAGGAGGGATCCAACCTTTGTGCCGGGTGGGAAAAACAATATAGCACAGTGGGTGCGCTTCGTGCTCGGTGCACTTCGTAGCTTGGTGGTGGAGGGCAGCGGGGGAGATGGAAGTTGAGAGTCCCCAATAATACAGAAGGGAGCCCAGTGCCTGTGCCAAAGCCTCTGCCTCCAAGCCAACTGCCTTTACTTTCTACAGCCTATCTTACTGATGCCTGGTTTCAGCTGGGTTGGTCCAAGGGAAAGAAGCTTCCAACTCCAGCAAGAAGATAACACAAAAATGAGGTCTCTCTTGCCTCTTCTTAAAAAGCAAACTCTTCCTCCACATCAAGGGTATTCCCTGGCATGAAGTAATGTGTGGAGTAACAATACCTGAAATGTCCCCCTTCTATGTCAGAGCCTTCAACTGAGTACCTGCTCAGGCACTGGGAGGGCAAAACTCTGCTGGAAGCAACGCGCAGGACACTGCTCAGACCAGCCTGCTTTAACCCAGATCTGTCTGTATATGGCATCCATGACGTAAACAAAAACTCCCAAAGCAGCAGCAACGGTAAGAAATGGGTTTCCGAAGCTTTCTCCAGATGTACGTTTTGAAGTTCCAGGGGAAAAAAAAAAATAAATAAATAAAAAATGCAAAATACATCCTGCCAAAGCAGATATAATCAGTGAAAACTCCCGGGAGCCAAAATTAATATTCAATTACACAGTTGTAAATCCAGTGGAAGGGACTCATCTGTGCTAAACCAAAGCAATGCTGCTCATGCCATACTTGCTTTTAGTTGCAGGGGGGCTTTTACTGAAAAGGGGACATAGGGAAGAAGGGAGTAAGACAAAAACAAGTGTTTGTTGTATTCTCTCTGACCTGTGAGAGGTTTCTGGAGAAATGCAACATCTAAAAGCTCTGCAGCATTCATCCCTTGTGGGAAACCATGGGGTGGCAGTAGCTGCCAAAACTCTAGACAAACTGCATCACCACAGAATAGCAGGACTTCTTGCTGAACTGTCACTGCTCAAGTCCCACATCTGCGCTCAAGTTAGAACACAAGCACCCCCTTCACAAAAAAGAACCACCACGAACAGACATACAAAACCACCAAACCAAAACAATAAAACCAACCACAAAACACTAGAGAACCCACCATCCCCAGAAATTAACCCCACAAGCCACCCAACAACCTAAGAAACCCAAGCCTAACAAGGATGACATCTCATAAACAAAAACCTTACAGTCACCCCCCACATAATGCTGATGCCATGAAAAAAGCATGTCTAATGAGTAATATTTACACTTTAGGCTTATTAAACACAACGGGGTTTTTTAACTGCATGGGAAATAAATAATGCTCCCAATTGGTAAGAAAAGCAGTGGTCTCTTCCAGAATATAATAGTCCTTCAGTCACGTCAAACTGTCCATATTCTACAGCATGTCTGTTACTAAATATAATGCTATTAATTTCTGTGTGTCACTCTTCCTTGTATTTTCAGCATGTGGCAGACTTCTCAATAAAGGTTGAAATTACGTTAGACATTGACTTTCCAGACTGACATTTTCTTGAATGACAATATACTACATAGGCAACTGTAGTAACATTTATGAATTAATCCCCCACCCCCCCAAGAGGCTGACCTGAATTTTTGCACTGCTCAGTGCTTCTAATAAAAGTGGAAGTGTGAAACATATGTAAGAAGGAGAAATGTTCCTTCTGAGTGAGTCTTACCATGAAATGCATCTGCAAATGGAAAACAAACAAATCTATTTCCACATACTCTCAAACATACTAATGTAAAAGGTAAGTGAAAACATTTCTGTTGCTCAGGATTTGGAACTTTCTTAGAGGAACTGGGTGACTCTGAGCAATGCACAATCAGTTTTCCCTGCTGAAAAGTCCTATGTTACTGTTTTAGCTGACAAAGCAATAAAATTAGATGTGAAGACTGCTATCAGAAACCCAAGCCAAATGAACGTTTTTCTAGCAGCCATCATTCTTCTTGCAGGCTTGAGGACTGCAATGCAAAGCCATTGGGTTACCAGCTGCCTAACAATGAAAGAGCAAACGGAAGAAAGGACTTGTGGAAAAGAAAAACAAGTCTGAGCACAAATGCAGCATGCCCGTTACAGTCATGCTCTGAATGACCCCTGTTGACTAGGGGTTTCCTTGCCCAGCTACCAACTGTCTTCGTGGAGAGGATGTGAGAGGCAGAAGCCACCTTCTGCCTCTCACTTCTGTAGTGCAGCTTTTCTAGTGCAGCTGTAGTGAAGCTTTTTTAGCGCACCTCACCATGTCATAGTTTTCATACAATATTTCAATTGGAAAACAGGCAAAAAACCCCAAACAATTCTATAATTTAAAATAGAAGACAATGCAACAGCTAAAGCCATCAATTTATATCAGTTTAGTTGATGATTAAGTAAATGAGCTAAATATTTTAAATACCCACTGGCATTAACATTTTATTAATCTTCTACTTATTTCTTTGATATATTTTTCTGTTCTCCCTTATTATTTATAACCATCTCCACTATTTACAATTACATGTAGCAATTCATTACAGATCTTGCAGAACATGACAGCCACATTACACTGAAGTGTACTGATGATAAGTCAGAATCCTACTCTGAAACTGAAAAAAAAAAAGAATTAATAGGTTAAGTAAATGCCTGTGAAATGCAATTGTAAGGAGCTATGGTGTAGTTAAATTGGATGAGGCTGAAAACAAAGCCAGCAGAAAGTTGTCATTATTTCTAAATTCCAAAGCTTGATTGCATCTTTACTTAGTGCAGTTGAAATACAAGCTTGATCAACAACATGAAATTGGTGGAAAAAGGTCTTCCTGTAGGAAAATACCAATAAAACTAAGTCTGGGCAAGACAGAGGGATAAAATGTGAAAGCTGGCATGAAATCAGTCTGCTGTTAGTCCCCCAGGGGTAGGCTGGAGTACCTTATATGAGGTGCTGCATACACACAGGGGTGCTTCACCTGCCTTCCCCCACCCCAGATCTTCAATTCTTTGTGAAATATCAGGGAACGTGGTATTTGTCATTGAAAAATGAAAACTGGCAAAGTTCCTTGTATCTTATATTTATCAAAGGAAAAAAACAGACTAGGGAAGCCAGGACTGGGGGCTCCTGAGACATGACACAGTAGAAAAAAAAACAAGTGAGCGCTAATTGCATAGTCTAATTAGTAATCCACAGCATAACCCATGCTACATGGTTAAGTCATCGCCTTCCCCGGTGGTGGGGAGGGGATGTTAAAGTGAACAGTGTATACATATGTCAGTGATAATAGGCTTCAGGTTTTTCTTTTCAAAAGAAAGGGGTGTTGGGGAGTGTGAAGAGACACTGCCGCAGGGCTGGGGCTGGCATGTTTTAACTTGTGCTACCTCCAGCCACAGCCCCATGTTGCACACAGATCCTGTTTCAGCTCTGAACCAAACAGTTGCACTTCCCCTCAAAATCCTAAGTTGAGACCCTGGAGCACACCCATCTCTGTGTTCTCATCATCTTCTTGGTTCTCCAGTCCTCCCACAGGTGCTCAAAAGACTTCAAAGCAACGTCCCTCTGCACAAACTTCTGATACCACAAGCTGCTCCACTTCTTTGACCTTTCTGGGTCCAGGCAGTTCCAGCAAAGAAGCTGCCAATACACTTTTAGGGCTGAGGTTCATCTGGGACTCCTTCCCCAGGGTGTCCCTCAGATCCTCCATCCCCCAGAGAAACTCAAGCCTGTTCTCTTCCATATCCTAGCTCACTCCACAGACGTCTTCCCCATCTCTTTTCTGCTCCTCTTCCAAACTCCTTCTGCCTTTCCATGTTTTCCAAAGCTCTCCATTGCCCTGGCACATGGATGTTCAGCAACCTGCTTAGCATTGCCTCTGTGGCAAAACACATTCCTTCAAATGCAATCATGCTGACTAAGCACATTGGATGCAAATGGCAATGTTTGGGCATTGGGCCTGCCAGAAGGTGCTGTGAGCTGCTCAGCACCGGTCCCATCCATTTCCAGCCAACTGTCCTTCAGAGCCCCAGTCAGGCTGGTTTGCCTGCAGTACTACAAGGACACACATATAATGCAAGTGGAGCCATTCTGACCAATCATCTCCTTCAACCAGCTTCGAACTCACAGACCCAAAGTACCCACTTTCACAGGAGGCAATCCCTTAGGAATTGTCACCTTCTGCTTTTGATCCACTGTTCCTCTAAATCAGGAGTGGATCCCATAGGCCTTTTACCGTTCCAGAACCTTCTCCTAGACACTGCCTTTTTTATTTATGACCCAGGGGTGCTCTTTGGCTCCCTGCAATTACTAACACCAGAGGTATTAACAATGCAAGATGGTGGAAAGGATTACTCACCTATTTCTGCTGTAATTCAAGTAGCTTTGTCAGTGCTGATTCATATTTGTGGGATTTGCCTTTTCTCAAGAGGTACAGGATATTACATGCTGTTGATAAAAGAAGGTATTGCCTCAGGCTCTGTCCATACTTACATTTTTACTGCCCAGTGCTGAAATAGTTGGAATGAATCTTTGATCTATCCTGAATATTTTGCTTCAATTCCAGTTTAATTCAGTAATGGGTCTTTCCCATTCATAACTTGCAGCCAGCACATGATGCCAC